CCCCCCCCCGTTTTTGATCCCATTCCCCACTCCACCCCCACAGAATGTCTCTGGTATATGGTTGTTCATTATTTTTGTTATTTTCTCGCCTGGTCCATTATACTCCTGCTATGAGTGAAATCATCCGGTATTTTTCTTTCTCTTTCTGGCTTATCTCACTAAGCATGATCTTTTCCAGCTCCATCCAAGTTGCTGCAAAAGACATGTGTTTCTCTTTTTTGGTTGCTGAGTAATATTCCATTGTATATATGTACCACATCTTTCTAATCCAGTCATCTACTTTTGGGCATTTGGGCTGCTTCCATGTTTTTCCTATTGTAAATAAAGCAGCAATAAACATGGCGGTACAAGTATCTTTTTCAATCAGTGTTTTTGTGTCTTTTGGGTAGATACCTAGGAGTGGGATTGCTGGGTCATAGGGAAGCTCCATGTTTAGCAGTTTGAGGAACCTCCAAACAGTTTTCCATAGTGGTTGTACTAGTTTGCATTCTCACCAGCAATGCAGGAGAGTTCCTTTTTCTCCACATCCTCGCCAACATTTGTTGTTGCTAGTTGTTTGAAGATGTGCCATTCTCACTGGGTGAGGTGGTATCTCATTGTGGTTTTAATTTGCATCTCCCTTATTACGAGTGATGTTGAACATTTTTTCATATGCCTGTTGGCCATCTGCATTTCCTCTTTGGAGAAGTGTCTTTTTAGCTCTACTGCCCAGTTTTTGATGGGGTTGTTTACTTTATTTTTGTTGAGTTTCATCAGTTCTCCGTATATTTTTGTGATCAGTCCTTTATCGCTACTTTTGTGAGTATTATTTTCATAGGTTATAATCTCCATGTATGTAATTTTATATTTTGGTGTGAATTTTCTAGGGAAATCTTTCTTAGCTGTTTTCCAAATTTCTTTCATGAGTTATCAGTTACATTGGAAAACTTTTTTTAGGATCAGACATGTATGTGTTAACCCTAGACTTCCAGTTTCCATCTGTCAGATAAATATGAACCTCAGCTAGCCTTGAGAAGAGCTTCTAAGATATTAGCCTACAAACTTGTGGCTGGTAGAGTTGCATGTATGTTTGTTTTTCCAATTTAAAGAAAACTTAGGAGAAATGTACTGAGGTATTTGGAATTGTTTATAAAGGGTTGCAGTATATGTGTAGCTCTTCTAAAGGGTTCTGAGCCCTCGGTATTCAATTCCCTCCACTGTGTGTGTTATAGCAAGTATCTATGGGATCATAGACTGTAGATTATAAGTGACCTTACATAGCATCTCATCTAACATTCATGCTACTGACCAGGCGTCTGAAGCCATGAGAGAATAGACTTACCTGTTGCAGGGACAAAGCTGGGATGAAGAAGCAGCCATTAGGACTCCTAGGAAGGAAGGACATGTGGGTCCTTCCTTCATTATTTCTCATGTATTCACGATTTAGGTGGGTGATTCTGTAGACTGAAACCAAGCATGGATGAGCTCACTGGGACTTCCTTCCCTCTGCAGTCAGCTGAGGTCTGGCTGGTCTGAAGGGCCTTCATTGTTATGACTTAGCTCTGCAATATGGGTTCTTGCCTCCTCCAGTGGGCTTGTCCTCCTGGTCATAGCAGAATTCCAAGAAAGAAAACAGAAATGAACAAACCTTTTTTTGTTGTTTGTTATCTTAAAGATTTAATTATTTGTGCATACAGAACTGGGATACAAGCCAGAGGTACAGGGGCAGTGCGAGGATTCACCAGAGTGGGGACCAAATAGGCATTCCGACAAAGTACACTGCTGAGGGGAGCAGTGGGCGAGTCAGGAGAGGTCTGCCGCCATGTGGATCACCTCTGGGCCGGGGATGGAACTCACACTGAAACAGCTGCAGCTAGCTTACAGTGCTGCTCCTAACCCGTTGTGCCACCAGGGAGGGCCAAGAACAAACTTTTAAAAAACATACAGGCTTTATTTTTAGAGTGACATTAAGGTCACAGTAACATTGAGAGGTTTTTAATATACCTCCTGCTGGACATAAACATCAGCCTTCCCCATTATCAATATCCCCACAAGACTGGTATACTTGTTACAACGGATGAGCCTACATGAACATACCATTACCATAGTTAACATCACAGCTCATTCTAGGTGTCATGCATTCAATGGGTTTGGACCAATGTAAAATGACATCCACCTACCATGATGGGGTCATCTAATTTCACTGCCCCAAAAGTCCTTTCTGTTCTGCCTATTCATTTCTCCATCCCTCCCTCCAACTCCTAGTAACCATTTCTTTTCACTGTCTCTATAGTTTTGCCTTTTTCAGAATGTCATAGTCAGGATCACACAACAAGTAGCCTTTTCACTGGGGCTTCTTTCTTTGAGTAGTGTCTTTCCAGACTTGATAGTTCATCTCTTTTTAATACTGAGTAACATTCCATTGTTTGGAATGTACCATAGTTTACTTATCCATTCACCCACTGAAAGACATCTTGTTTGCCTCTTCTTTTTAGCCATTATGAATAAAGTTGCTATGAACGTCAGTGTGCAGGTTTTTAAGTGGAAAGAAGCTTAATTCCTGTGGGTAGAGTGACTACTGGACTGTATGTTTGGTTTTGTTGGACAGTTTGTCAAACTGCTTTTCAAAGTGGTTGTACTATTTTGCATCCTCCAAGCAACAGATAAGTTTCTATTGCTCTATATCCTCACCAGCATCTGGTTTGTCAGTGTTCTGGATTTTGGAAATTCTAATAGGTATGTAGGGCTATCTCATCATTGCACAAATACTTCACAAGCCTTCATTTACATCAAATTTACTTTCCATTAACCAAAGTAAATCAGATGAGTGACTCTAAAATGGAGAAGGACTATAGAATTATAGGGAAAGGAATGGGATAGTGAATGGGAAGTCATTGTGCAGGGCTACTAATGCTATCACATTTACTACGAGGATCTATGCGTGTTTCTCGAAACAAGGGGAATACAAATAACATTAAGATTTTGCACTAATATTTAGACTCAATTGGAGAAATTACATTTGAAATTAAGTAAAACACAGGAGCATCTTCTGATTTTTAAATGTTGCCATGTTTTCTGGCCAAGTTACTAAGAGATAAAATTAGGAACATGAGCTTTCACACTGTATTGCCTCTTATGCCATTAACTCATGGAATGATAATCTTAAGGATCTTGGTAGAGTTTCTTAGAATCCTGTTTAATAGAGTTAGCTCTCTAAATAACCAGTGAGCATTCTGCTTTGTGACTACTCCCTGGGAAACTAAAGTTGTTTATATCTGAGCTTTACAGAAGAGACTCAATCAGTATCTTAATGGGAAGGGAGGGCTGTGTGTACATGTCTGTAAGTGCATTTCTATGTAATGTGTGTAACCATCTCTGATCCATTGTGATTTCAGTTTGATTTTACCTGTTTCTACCTCCTCTGCATTCCTAACAAATACCAAGAACTGACTGAGCTTTTCACTTAGATTCACTTTACACTCTGCATATCAGAGCAGACAGCTGAGAAGCAGAGAAGGGGAGACAAGGATCACCAGTCCCATAGTCCAGGCAGCCTGCTACTCAGAGTGGAGCCATGCTGCCCCCTACACAGTAGTTTGTACTAGGAAGATGAAGGGTTCCATCCTCCCTCTATACTCCATCTCCATCACTTCCTTTGTTAACCTATCTTGACCTTGGTTGATCCAATATTTCTGTCATTGTTCAGGAATTGGGAGTCAAGTAACCTGTGATGTAGCCCTTGGGTCACTTAATATCTTGGTCATGGATAAAAATATGTGTACCTGCTCTGAGTTTTGACCACTCTAGAATACCAGGATACAACTGGACACAGGTCACAGGGTCCTAAACAAGTGACTCCCTGAAAGTCCCAGTAATGACCAGACCCATCGGAATGAAGCTGGCTGAAAGGTAAGCCTAAGAATAACAGACACCTGCGTTAACAAGGAATTACTGCACTCCATTCTGAGCCGACACTAAACCATAACAAACTTACTGAAGATGGGGGAGGGACAAAAAGATTTGAACACTAAAAAAGAAAAGTTCATTTGCCGAGAACAAAGGGACTAGCCTTACAAACAAAAATTCGTTTTGGCTCAGTAAGCCAAGGACATCTGAAGAAATGCTGGTCTTCCTTGGGCAGCACACGTTCACTCTCTCCTTCAGTGTTTGGTAAGGTGGAGGAAGTGATGAGGTTGAAAATACTACTTGTTTCGATTCAGCTGGGAGAGATCCATTACCTTTCCGGTTCCTGTTAAGTACATAAACTATAGCTTCCATTCCATCCTTCCCCCCCCCCCCCAACACATACCAGGGTCCTTTAGATCCGGCCACTGCCCTCTCCACAAGTAGACTGGCATCAAGTGAGATGATGATAGCACCCCGACGCCCACTCATAGCCATCAGTAGAATTTAGTCCCATCACAGCCCTTTCGCTCTTGACGGCCCTCGAGTTTTCCCTCTCCTAGGACCCCCTCTCCAACCCACCCCTACCTGTTGGGTAGTTCTCACTTCCTGGAAACACCAGCTGTCCTTAGGGGAGACACCGTCGCCTTGCAATCCTAGCCTGTCACTTCCTGCTGAAGGGGCACCCGTGCTTAATTGCGGGCTTCACCGCCAGAAGGGTGCAACGGGCCGGCGACCAGGCGTTGCAGAGTTCAGTGGCCTGAGGAAGGGGGAAACTCAATCGCAAACAGCCCAGTTTAGCGGGGCTGCAAATCTTTGGTGACCGCCGGCAAGCCTTTGGCTAGCTCTGGAGCCTCGGAACTAGTCAAATCTAGGGTGCCCGTCTATCCCCGCTCTCCACCCTGGGTTCAGAGCGGTGGGACAGGGCGCCCGGTCACTAAGCACAGCCGCGGGCATCCAGTCTGACTGCGGCGAAGGCTCCCACCGCCGCTGCTGCAAACCGGTCTGGCTTCCCTGCAGGGCGTGCGGGGATGGAGAGGGGGTGGAGAGAAAAGGGGAAGAGCCTAGGCGGCCAGCGGGCGGGGCCTGTAGCTTCCCGAGCCGCGGCAGCAGCCGCGCAGCCTGCTTTCTCGGTGCCCAGCAGCGACTCCAGCGCGCACTGCGCGGTCTTCCGCGCCGGAGCCCCCGGACGCCGCTGCTCCTCTCCCAGCGACCCCCGGACGCGCCGCGGCTGGGCTGCGCCGGGCGGTGGAGCCGCTGGGAGCTTCAGGGCTTCTGCGGCCGCTCATTGCTCTCTCCGGCCGGAGGACTGGCGGGGAAGGAAGGGGAACGCGGGGACACACAGACTCGCCGCGGCGCGCGCGCATTGCACATTTGCAGCCGCGCGCCCCCGCCGAGGCGCGTCCGGGGCGAGTTTGGCCCCGCGGCTCCCGCCCCTGCACCTGCCCGCTCTGGGCGCTGCGCCCTAGTCCCAACCCCGCCCCGCCAACCCTCCCGCCCCTTGCCTGCACAGCTCTCCCTTCGCCGGGGGGAAGCGACAACATCCCGGTAACTTGCAGACTGTGGCGCAACTGGTCTCGACAGCGGAGGCGCCCTAATGCTGCCCGGGTGAGGTAAGTTTCCTGCGCGTCCCCGGCCCCTCCTCCCTAGACGCTCTGCTGAGCTCGGACTGGCGAGGTTTGTGTCTCTGATGAATCCCGACGGTCTCCCCACGCTCCCACTTTGTTCGCGCAGTGCTGTTGGTTAGGTAGCGGGGGCTAGTCGCCACCCAAGAGGCACCTTCGTTCTGCCGGGACCACGGTTGCGCGCTCTACGCGGACACCCACCCGCGCGCCACCCAGAGCCCCACGGCCGCACCAGTGACACTCAGGGTTCACTTAAGCAGGAGCCCCTTGCCCTGTTCTGGGAAACCGATTGAGTTTGGCAACACTGGGAGAGAGCCCCCACCACCTCCGGCTATTAGAACGGCTGCGAAGTTATGGGGTGCCCTGGGATCTCCAGCAGGGCATGTGAGTCGGTGTTCTGGTCATTTCTGGCGCTGGGGCCGGATTGAACAGGTGCGGTAAGGTCTCTGCCTAAATGCTGCAACGCTCTTCTGCGTTTCCCGTGCTTCTTTCCCCAGCCCAGTTAATGTGACGCGGTAACAGCTGGGGCGAGGGGTGGGCGTGTGGGAGCTACCCAGAGAATGCCAGGGTTTGGTTTGCCCTGCCGGTGCCAGGAGTCTCCAAAACAGAAGACACAATATTATCTCTCATCTGTACAGATTAGCATGTTGTCATGTCTTATCCCCCTTCCAGCTCACTTGTCTCTGGCTCCCAACGTGTTTGGGTAGAAACCTGTTCCAGAGAAGTTGTTTGGATGGGTTGATGGGATTCTTCTTTTCTCTTTGGAAATCAGGACTCTGAGTAAGGCAATGCTAGTTGCCTTTTTTTTTTTTTTTTTTAAGGTAGTGTTCTAGAGCAAAAATACTCCCTCCACTCCATCGCCCAAATCTTTCTAGGACATTCTCAGCCTGCCCAAGGTCCTAGCGTTAAGATGAATGGCTCTTATGGACTGGTGGAGCCTCAGAATGCCTTAGTCTAGACTGCAAGCAAGCAGACCCCAACAGTATGGGTTTAGGGAACCCTTATGAGCCTCTGATGAAAAACGTCCCCAGACTTCTTTCTTGTTCTGTGGAGAGTTTTGCAATTGTTAAGTGGAGGAGAGCAGAAGGGTTGGTTTCATAATAACTGATGTAATGAAATAGAATAGTGTTCGTGGAGGCTTTTCCCAACTGAAAGGAGGTCCTTGGGAGGGTGGAAGGAGAGCGTTATCAGACATGGCCATGCGAGTAGGAAGTTGAGCAAGCATCATGCATGATTTCTGAGCCAAGGAAAGTGGAGCTTTCTGTGGTGAGTAGTGACTTAGGAGGACCCCTGCAAAAGCTAAGTCAGACTGTTGTATAATATAGTTGAGAAGAAAAGCATTAAGCACTGAGTGGTAAAACCACAATACATATTTGTACAAATTAAGACTAGAGGGATTTCGTAGTAATGCCTTATATTTTATAGCAATACTTTGTAATTGTTTTCTAGTCATTCTTAATTCTTACCATTTCTGAGAGAGGGCTAACATGGTGAACCACATATTCACTGGAGGAGCATGAGGCTCCCAGGTTCAGGGACTTAAGGTAATAAGTGTCTGGAATTGGAATCACAGCCAAGTTCTTTGTGGTAACAGTGCTGCTTCTGTACTCCTGTGTTTATAATGGCCAAGTGCTTCATTTATTGTGGTCTGCTCGCACTCACTGTGGATTACTGTTCACATTTTTACAGATGAAGAAACTAAGATTTAGAAAAATGGTGGGAGTTCTTTGGGTTATCATGTTTAACCTCCTTGAGTTGACAAAACTAGAACTCAGAACGCCAGTGCCTGGTGCATTGCTTTATAGAGTATGCCGTTGTGCCACTTTTGATAACAAGGGTGCATCGTGAGTACAGCAACTTGCAGAGCATCCTTATCCATGCTGACGGGTGTTCTGGGCTCCAGTTCTGAAACTACACTTGACTTTATGACTGTAGTCAAATCATATCACCTGTGACCCTCAAATCCACTACCTATAAAATAGGAGGTTCCAATGGAATGATCTTTTTTCTCATTTTTACATTCTGTGATGCTATTAATGTATTTGTAATCCAATGTTATCATTTTCTCCAGGGGAAAGAGAACTTTTTATCTTGCTTTAACTAAGAGATTTAGCTAATTATCTCTTTCATTTATAATTACTCCCCTCTCTCCTGGACCACATACTACTTAATCAAATGAAAGGAAATTCCAGGGGCATTTTAGCTAAGCTTCTCTAGATATAGTGTTACTATTTAACTTGGAAATATTCTGAAGGGCTGAACTGCTCTAAAATACATGTCAGGATTTACTTAAATTTTCCAGGCAGTCAACTTCCACCTCTTTTTTTGCCCCCTTCCAGCTTTGGGGTTTGAATTTAGTAAACATGCAATAAATAGCTGTTATATGAATGGGGGTGAGTGAAATCACTCATAATGAAAACACATGCTGTTAAACAGTCTCTCACTCTGTTCAATCTCCTGCAGCTGCTGACACGTGGTAATTTACCTGTAAGGTGGGCTTCCTGAGGCTGGCAGCCAGGTGCCTGCCTTTGCTTTCCTTCCTGAATGCATCACAAACAGTAGTTTTGCTTCTCATTGAAAGCAGTGGGCTCACACCATCTATGTTCATCTCTTTTGCTTGCTTTCCCACCTCGCTTCAGTATACTATTCTAGATATATATTAGGTATATATTCCTAGAAACTGACTTAGACCACTTAGTGAGAGTATGTCTTGAGAAAGCAAAATCAGCTGCTCTTTTTTCCTACTCAAGTAAATTTCAACATATGCTAATACTGGTTAGTGGTTTCAGAGGGGGAAGCTAATTAACAAAACCATCCTAGTTTCTGTTCCCTTTAAGAATCCTCTTCTTTTTTTCACTCCTCCTTCCTATAGGCAGAAGTGTTTTGAAGAAAGATGACAAAAAATTAGACTGGATCTTAAATATTATTAACAGATTTAACAGATTTAGCCACTGGGGTTGAGGTTCATTTCTTTCTGATAAAGAATTCAAATACCAACTGGTTCGGAGACTCATACCTTTTATGGGTAATGCTGCTAAGGCTGAGAGGTGAATTGACTTACTCCCCATCACATAGGTGGATTAGCAGGAAATCCTGGGCTAATGCGCGTTTCTCAAGGTTCAACCAAAGTTATACCAGGAATTCTGTGTGTTTTTCACTTTTAGAAACATAAGGGTTAACCAAAAACTTCTGTTTAACCATTAATAGTACAACATCACTTTTTAAAAATGTTTTAGTGTTTTATATTTTGAGTTTTTCTTGTCTCATCAGTATCACTAATGAGAAAATGTCTACTCACATCTATTCACTATTATTTTCTTGACTTGTGCCTCAACAGACTCAATTAATGCTTGGCTTGAGCCAGTGATTGGAGAGAACTATTTGAATAGAAATACAAATATTCACTTTTTGTAGTGCCACAAGGCACAGAGCAGGTTTTCTATAAATCCGGGAAGATGGGAAAAGGAGAATCCTAGAGCCCTCAGTGGAGTTTTTCAGCCTTTTTTTTTTTTTAAAGATTTATTTGTGCATGCAGAACTGGGGTACAGGCCAGAGGTGCAGGGGCTGCGAGAGACTTCACCAGAGACAGAGTGGGGAGCAGAACAGGCAGATCCACGAAGTACACTGCTGAGGGGAGCAGCGGGCGGGTCAGGAGAGGTCTGCCACGCCATGTGGTCACCTCCGGGGCAGGCGGGGATCGAACTCTTGCTGAAGTGGCTTTAGCTTCTTAGTGCTGTGCTTTAACCCGCTGCGCCACCAGGGAAGGCCTTTGCGAACTTTTAATATACTTTCTACACTATTTATAGTGAGGCAACCAGGTGCAGGGCAGGCAGGGAGGCCCAGGCCCGAAGGTGACAGGCCTCCTACCCCGCGGCGAGTCTTCACTCTTTTCTGGGCTCTCTGTGCCTCTCTACTGGTCTCTGTGCCTTGCGCTGCATGGTCCTCTTCCGCCGCCGCACCGTCGTGGGCTACCACGCCATGTTCTCTGTCCCGCCTGGTATGCTCAGTGTCTGCGCTCAGATGCATGCACGCACGCCCACACCACACTCCAGGTGCCACCATTAGGCACCGTGTGAAACCTCAGGTGTCGATCACTGATGCTAATAGTGGGAGGGTGGAGAAATCCTGGTCAATTCCATTTACCCTACAACTTTCCAAACTTCTCAATAAATAAAACCAGAAGCCAAAGGTGGCCCCTCATACAGCTAGTACTGTCATAAATATGTATGTATTTAATTTGCATTTCATATTGCTTGTATTTCTGTTAAATTGTGAATCAGACCATTCCTTATCTTGGAAAAATATTTGTCTGGTTAGAACCTCATTAGTAACTCTGTAAAACAGCAAGTCTTAAATGTATTTGTTGCAGAAACATGTCTTCTTGTATCAAATATATTAACTCGGTTGGAAGAAGTTCTTTCACTTAGGGAACTGGTTGGAGCCTCCAGTACTTAGCTCAGTGATTCATTTGTGGAGTTGTATCTATGCTTTTAAATGCCAGGAAACTAGCTTTTGTTTTATTTGGTATTTTCGTTTGTAAAATAAACTTTAAAGTTGTTCTGTTGGTGAAATTTTTGAAGTACTTGTAGTGAACAATTGGCTGCCATTGATGAAGTGTTTTATTCAGTCAAGTTCCTTTCAGTATAAGGGATCAGGCCAGGAATAACAAACTTAATTTTGTATATGTCATTCTCAATTGTATTTACTTCTGTCTTGCTTCATCAGAGGAGTCAAAAAGAGATGATATAGGAAAACACAGAAATCCTACCCAAATTGGGTCACTCCTAGGATGATGATTCCAAATGTACATTATGACTGGATGTAGCATGTTTATCAATTGCAGTGCCTTGACATTATCGTGCTAAGTTGAAACAAGCCTGCATATGAATGCACAGCTCCATGAAGTGTGTAGTCCTGTAGAAAGTCATCCATGTTGTGTATGGGACTGAATAAACAGTGGTATGCAGAAGAGTAGGGGAGTTAACTGA